GTACATACTTAATTTAACCACCAAATATTTCTTCCTTGTAAACTAATATTCTACAGAACATATTTTGAGACATGCTCTTTTCAGACTTAATCATTCCCCAAAGCAATTTTAACATAAGGAAAAAGACAAGTAGATGATAAAATTCAGAAAAATTAAGGTGAGTTAGAATCAAGATTTTTTTTAATTGGGGAGCCAGGTTTTTGGAGATTCCTTGAATCACATAGAAATGGCTGTATAAGTGCACAGGGTACCATCTCCCTTTTCTAAGTCCTTTGCTGTGTTTGCTTCGGCAGCACATTGTATGCTGTACTTTACATCCCTGTGACTATTCTTTAATTACCAATTTGTACTTCTTTTTTTTTATTATTATTATTTTATTTTTATTTTTTATTTTTTCGTATGTGCCCCTAGCGGGAACTGAACCCGGGACTCTCTGGTCCACAGGCTAATGCTCCAACCGCTGAACTAAACCGGTCAGGGCCCAATTTGTACTTCTTAATTCCTTCACCTTTTCCACTCATCTCCCTGACCCACCTTTCATCTTTTGAAAACCCAGTCCCCCAACTCTCTTTCTTTCTGGCAACCACCATTCTCTCTCTGTGTCTGAGTCTGTTCCTATTTCAATTTTGTTTGTTCATTTATTTTGTTCTTTAGATTTCACATATCAGTAAAATTATACGGTATTTATCTTTCTCTGACTGATTTACTTCACTGAGCATAAGACTCTCTAGGCTTATCCATGCCATCGAAATGGTACAGTTTTATTCTTTTTTTATGGCTGAGTAATACTTCACTGTATATATGTACCACAGCTTTTTTATCCACTTGTCTATTGATGAGACCTTGGGTTGCTTCCATAGCTTGGCTATTATAAATAACACTGCAATGAACATAGGGATGCATATATTCTTTGATTTTCTTCAGGTAAATCCCCAGAAATGGAATGGCTGGGTCATAAGGAGGCCTAGACTTTTCTGTCTCCCTGCACATATCCCTTCCTACCATATCCTTTCATCTGACCCCATCTGCAACACTCACCCAGACTGGCTGTCATAATCATTCCCTTCTGCACAGAAATAAGTTCTTCCTCCACACCTTTGCTTATGCCTTGCTTCCCCTCTAGCATTCCCTTCTATTCTCTGCTTCACCTTCTATTTTTTAAATTAATTAATGAATCAATTTATTTATTATTGTTAATCCTCACTGGAGGATTTTGTTTGTTTGTTTGTTTGTTTTTGGTATGTGCCCCTAGCGTGAACTGAACCCGGGACCCTCTGGTCCGCAGGTCAACGCTCCAATTGCTGAGCCAAACTGGCCAGAGCTGTTTTTTGTTTTTTAATCCTCACCTGAGGAAATTTTTGCATTTATCTTCAGATAAAGTGGGAGGGAGAGAGGGGGGAAGAGAGAGAGAGAAACATCAACGTGAGAGAGATACATTAAGTGGCTGCCACCCACACGACCCCAACCAGGGCTGGGGACAAACTGCAACCGAGGTACATGCCCTTAGCAGGAACCAAACCTGGGACTCTCTGGTCTGCAGGCTGACACTATAACCGCTGAGCCAAACCGACCAGGGCCGGAGGATATTTTTTCCATTGATTTTTAGAAAGAGTGGAAGAGAGGGGGAGAGGGAGGGAGGGAGGAACATTGATCTGAGAGAGACACATCAATTGGTTGCCTCCTACAACCCAGGTACATCCCTTGACCAGGAATCGAACCTGTGACCCTTCAGTGTTGGGCCAATGCTCTAAGCACTTAGCAGCACCACCCACCAAGGCTGCTTCTCCTGTCTAAATGCCCACCTCTGAAGGTATAGCTATGTTTCACTGCCTCTCAAGGTAGATCTCCCTTCCTGATCTGCCCAACTTTGCCAAATCCTGTCATTAGTTATCCTGCATGTTGGCCTTGGCTTCTAACTGGGCTTGAGGATAGGAGTAAGACCTTATTTGCCATAGCCCAGTGGCGCAGTGGGAGGAGTACAGATTAGAAGTGTAACAGACACAAGTTTGACTCTGGGCTCTATCCCTGGTTTCTTTGTTGACCTTGGGTAAGTTACTTGACCTGAGCCTATTTTTTTCACCTGTTTAAAGTTATTTCAGCCCTGGCTGGTTTGGCTCAGTGGCTAGAGCATCGGCCCGTGGACCAAAGAGTCATGGGTTCAATTCTGGTCAAGGGCACGTATCTCAGTTGTGGTTTGGTCCCTGACCCTGGTCAGGTTGTGCGGGAGGCAACCAGTCGATGTGTCTCTCTCACATCGATGTTTCTCTTCCTCCCACTCTATCTGAAGATAAATGGAAAAAGTGTCCTTGGGTGAGGATTTAAAATAAATAAAGTTATTTCATAAAATCTTAAAAGTCTCTATAAAAAACAACTGAACTCGTGATGTGATAGAATCTTGTATCCTTGACTGAGTTGTACACAGTTGAGCCCTACTCTTGCCTCTCTCTGTCCCCCACATCAACAGATTGCAGTTATAGACCTGCACGCGTACCTGTGTTCACTCTTCACCTGCGTGACCTCTGAAAAGTCACTTAATGAGCACCTCCTAGAGCATCAGTCTCCTAATCTATGAGAAAATTAAATGAAATGCAAAGCTGCTGGATTAGTAAATGTCACATGCAAAATGCTTGGTGAATGAAATTCTTCTTAAAAGTACAGCTTTGGCCTAGCCGGTGTGGTTCAGCGGTTGAGCATTGACACATGCACCAAAAGGTTGCCGGTTCGATTCCCGGTCAGGGCACATACCCAGGTTGTGGGCCCGATCCCCAATGGGGAGCATGCAGGAGGTGGCCAATCGATGTTCTCTCTCATCGATGTTTCTATCTCTCTCTCCCTCTCCCTCTAAAAATCAATAAAGAAAAAAAATACAGCTTTTCTCTAGGTGGTGGAGAAAGTGGTTCTTGGCTGGGTCTACAGTTGCAAAAAGCAAACTAAGCCCTGGCCGGTTTGGCTCAGAGGTTAGATTGTCGGCCTGCAGTCCAGAGAGACCTGGGTTCGGTTCCCGCTGAGGGCACGTACCGCAGTTGCAGTTTGTCCCTGGCCCTGGTTGGGTCGTGTGGGTGGCAACCACTCAATGTGTCTCTTTCACGTCGATGTTTCTCTCTCTCTCTCTCCCCCTCCCACTCTACCTGAACAAAAAATGGAAAAATGTCCTTGGGTGAGTATAAAAAAAAAGAAAATTAAGGAGAAAAACCCCAGGATGCTCTGGACACCCCCTCTAGCACTCCCTACCCCACTGCCCACAGCTCAGTCAATGCCAGCACACACACACACACACACACACACACACACGACAAAAGGGAAGGAAATGAGGCCACTCCATTTGCTCTCTGACTGGATCTGCTTCCTCACTAAGGCTGTGGATGTGTTTCTCTGTCACCTAGTCTCTGCAGCAGCCTCTCCCTTCAGGGAGACTTTCTAAAGACCAGAGGGTCTGCACTGTCAGGAGAGGCTCTCTTATGGGCATGGAAATGTTTTAATGTAAAACCTCTGACCCTTGTACTTTGACTTGCTGTGGTTTTCAGGGCCAGGAGGCCTCTGATTGTGCCTGTTCTAGAACTATTTCCTCTCCAACCAAAGAGGGCTAATTCAAATTCTATTATTAGTCTTTCAAAAAAATATCATCCTTTTTGGTAAAATCTGAATAAACTCTATAGATTGTATCAATGCCAATTTCCTGGTTTTGATATTACACTATAGTAATGTGAGATGTTACCATTGGGGGAAACTGGGTTAAGAGTACATGGAAACTACCTGTTCATTTTTTCAACTCCCTGTGAATCTTTATTTCAAAATAAGAAATGTCTTGCCCTGGCCAGGTGGCTCAGTTGGTTGGAGCGTCATCCTATGCACCAAAAAGTTGTGGGGTCGATTCCTGATCAGGGCACATACCTAGGTTGTGGTTTTGATCCTCACTCAGGGCACATACAGGAGGCAACCGACCAATGTTTCTCTCTCTCTCTCTCCTTTCCTCTCTCTGTCTAAAAATCAATTTAAAAAGAAATATATCCTTGGGTAAGAATTAAGAAAGAAAGAGCCCAGACGGTGTGGCTCAGTGGATTGAGTGGTTGTCCCATGGACTGAACCCATGGACTGAGAGATCCTGGGTTCAGTTCCTGGTCCGGACACATGCCCAGGTTGGGGGCTCCATCTTCAGTGGGGCAGGAGGTGGCCAATTAATGTTTCTCCTTCACATGGATGTTTCTCTCTCTCTCCCTCCCATTCTCTCTTAAAAAAAAAAATCAATACAAATATATTTTAAAAAGGAAAGAAAGAAAGGTCTTGTTAAAAATCTTTTAAACTTCCTCTCCCCTCTCCAGGCCACCCCTATCACCCTTACCAACCTCCTCTTGGATCCTAGCAAACACCTCTTGGTTTTCCTTCTGTCTTTGGTCTTGACACATACTGATCCACCTGGAGCATCTCAAAAACACTAATTTTTCCCTAGTCTCCTGTAATAACCAGTGGAGGTTTATCTCTGCTTGTTGGATCGAGCTGGACCGCAAGGCCCTGTAAGACCTTTCCAATCTTATATGCTACTTTTTATTTTGTTCATGCCCTGCCTCCCTGCCTCCCCCACAACATCCCTCCTTCTCCAATTACAGAACTACCCTTTCCCTTCTCCAGTAATATTTTTGTTTGTTTATTTACCCTCACAGGACATTTTTCCTTTTTTTTTTTTTTTTGGTTCAGAGGGAGAGAAAGGGAGACACATCGAGTGGCTGCCACCCGCACAACCCAACCAGGAACCAGGATCGGGGACAAACTGCAACCGAAGGACGTGCCCTTAGCGGGAACCGAACCTGAGTCTCTCCGGACCGCAGGCCAACGCTCTAACCGCTGAGCCAAACGTCCTCCATTGATAGTAAAGACCCACCTGAACTTCCCCTGTGCTAAGAAGACGGCCCCGCCCCTCGAGAGGCCTTAACGGTCAGGCCCCGCCCCCGCGTGCGCGCGCGGCCCCGCGGAACGTGCAGGCGGCCGCGCAGCCGGAGGCTGAGGTGGCAGCATCCTGGCCGACATGGAGCTGCCACAGATGCCGGAGCTGATGGGGCTCTCTCTCTTGGTCGGGCTGCTGGCCCTGGTGGCGACGGCGGCGGTAGCGCGGGGGTGGCTGCGCGCAGAGGAGGAGACGAGCAGCCGAACTGCCGGTTAGTGGGGCCAGAACGGGCAGGGGCCACTCGCGGCGACCTCACTTCCGACCTCCCAGTGGTCCGACCTCGGGTCTGGGCCCGCAGGGTTGCCGGCTCCCCCGGGGCCCTCAGTTTCTCCTCCTGTGGAATGAGCTTTGCTTCCCGACAAAGATTCCGCCTGGCCCGGCTGGTCGTGCCCTTTCAGGAAGACCAGTTAGAACCTGATCTCACGCTGCCGCTTTCCCGGTGGCCGAGGCCAGGCCACCTTACCTTTGGAGTCTCAGCTTGTCCCCAGGGTTGCTGCGAGATCGCGTCTAAACTCCACGCGCGCTACTTGTTCGTTATTTAATGAAAATGGGCGTGGAGGTGAGGGACCGACATTCATTTGTAAGCACTCCGACTGGTTCCGTGATTTATTGTGTACCTGCTTCCTCAGTAGGTTTTGGGATCTTTTCCTAGGGAGTCCACTATGGGGTAATGGAGAAGAACATCTAAAAATGTAAGCGAAAAATATAGTGAGTAGGTTTCCTAGAAGAGGTCAGGCCACCTTACCTTTGGAAACCCAATAGTGGTAAGTGGTCAGCCCTGCTTTTTGAGGGGAAGGGTGTCAGGGAAATCTTCACTGAGAGCAGGTAACACAAGGGATGTGGTCTTAAAGCATAGATGTTTAAGAGTTTGCCAGGAGGCCAAGAAAAGAAGAACATTCCAAGCAATGGCAACATAGGCAAAGGCAAGGAGCCCTCAACAGCATTTAGTATGACTTTAGTGGGAGTGGGGGAGGGAGGGTTGTGAGAGAAGGCTGGAGAGGTAAGCAGAGGGCAGATTGTGGCATCTTTGTATTTGGACCTCAGGAGTATTTTTTTCTGTAGGAATTGAGTAGTGTCTGCAGTGATCTAACACATGCCTACTTTGGGAAACCAAGGACCAGAGCAATTGAGTAACTTACCCAAAGTTCAGTTGTGCACATTATTTCCTAGGTAGGGATGTCTGGGCAAGGATTTGCACTCCAGTACCATGTTGTGTGCCCACTGAGCTGTACCAGCCCAGAGAGGGCACCTTTTCTAATTTACATTGAGGTGCTAGATGGACTAACAGCAAATGGCCTCCTTAAGATCACAATCCAAACCCAGGTCTGATTCCAAAGCCTTTGGTTTTAACTACATTCACTCTCTCTTGTTGAGGACAGGGGCCATATCTGGTCATCTCTTGTTGCTCCCCTCAATACCTGGCCAGTTATAGGTGGTGAGTAAATGCTTACTGAGTGAGTAATGGATGGATGACATGGTCTTTCCCTATAGGCCAAAAACCAAATGGATTGCCACTTGACAAGTCCTTGAGATCCAAGAAGCAGAAACAGCAACAGCGTAATCGCAAGGAGAAACCTCAACAACACAACTTCACCCACCGCCTCCTGGCTGCAGCACTGAAGGTACATGGGTACCACGTACAACACACATACAAAGATTCACACCCTCACAGACTTTTCCTTTGCAGTATTCTGTGCATATTACAGACCCCTCAGTCTCTGACCAAAGCCAGTCTGGATGCCCCATTCTATCCTTTCTCATCACATCCTATCAGCATCTTGCTGTTAATCCAGGCCACAGGGCCCTGGAGTTATGTCTGCACATTGGGGTTCACCATCTGCCCAAGGGGTTCCTGTTCACACTTCCTGCAACCCTTCCCCTTAGAGCCACAGTGGGAACATATCTTGCATGGACTTTAGCAGCAATGGCAAGTACCTGGCCACCTGTGCAGATGATCGCACCGTTCGCATCTGGAGCACAAAGGACTTCCAGCAGAGGGAGCACCGAAGCATGAGAGCCAATGTGGAGCTGGACCATGCCACCCTGGTGCGCTTCAGCCCTGACTGCAGGTGGGACAGGGTGGATCCTCAAGTTTGCCTGCAGAAAATCAGCCCCAGGCTTATGGCCTTCTCATACCTGGTTTGGGATAATGATGGGGAGATTCATAGTCTCCCTTTGGGTAGCAGAAAAAGAGCATCCAGATAGATTGAGCACTGCCTGGGGCTCCCTAGAGGGCTGTGCAGCTGTATAGCAAGGAAACTATTTGGGAAGTACCAAAGTCTGGCTTCCAGGTTAGTCTTGGAAGCTATGATGATTTCTACATCCTAGAGAGAAACTAAATGAGCAAAAACTATTAGAGGTTATCTTATGGAGAGTTTTAAGAGATTTTGAACCAAGGGGTTAAGTTGTAAGGCTGGACTGTAGGGCATGAGAGGAGATCTTGATTTTCTTCAGAATCTAGCATAGAACCTGGCACACACAGGCCTCTGTGTCCAAGTAAGTGAGTGACTTGTCTGTTACCTATCTTTAGAGCCTTCATTGTTTGGCTGGCCAATGGAGATACCCTCCGTGTCTTTAAGATGACCAAGCGAGAGGATGGGGGATATACCTTCACAGCCACCCCAGAGGACTTTCCTAAAAAGCACAAGGCACCTGTCATCAACATTGGCATTGCTGACACAGGTAAGAGGCATTCAGAGGGTGGAGCTTGTCAAGGCAGGAGGGAATGGCCCTAGTCATATGTGCTGAAGGAGTTAATGCTGTCTCTCAGCATTATGCTCAGCCCCAGCATGATAAAAGAGCTCTGGCTCTATGTTCCCCTGGAGTCTGGGAGCCATAGTAAATCCCCAGGGAAGGCAGGTAAGAACCACATTCTTTAGCAAAGTCTTTATCTGTGTTGACCCTTGGCCTGGTAGGGAAACATGGTACTTTGGGCAGTAGAGGCCTTTATAAGTGTCTCTTTGGAGATTGACAGTTGGTCAAGTAATTGACCTCAGCTTATGTCACTCCCCTCACTCCTCAGGAAAGTTCATCATGACTGCTTCCAGTGACACAGCTATCCTCATCTGGAATCTGAAAGGTCAGGTGTTATCTACCATTAACACCAACCAGATGAACAATACACATGCTGCTATATCCCCTTGTAGCAGGTGAGGAAAGAGGGACTTTGGCATCTCGGATGGGTAGAGGTTGGAGCTGGGGTCTAGGGGCAGAGCAGTGAGCCAGCTACAAATAGTGGAAAGAGTATACAGTGTGGAATCAGGACACCTAGGTTTAAGTCCTAGTCTCTTTTTTTCTTTCTTTTTTAAATTTTTATGTATTGAGGTTTTAGAGAGAGGGGGAAGGGAAAGAGAAACGTCAATTTGTTGTTCCACTTATTTATGCACTCATTGGTTGCTTCTTATATGTGCCCTGACCAGGAATTGAACCCGCAACCGTGGCATATCAGGACAATATTCTAACCAACTGAGCTTCCCGGCCAGGGCTCTATTTCTTCATTTATAGTTTTTAAAAGTTTGAGTGGGGGTACTATGTATCTTATAGCATGGCTGTGTGTATGAACTGAGGTCATGTATATATGAACTTAAAAAAAATAATGTTATTTAGATATAGGATGCTAAATTTCTTAAGGAAGAAGCTTAATAGTTTTTCAGAAACAAGATACCCTTAAAATTAAGTTTTAAAGGAACCTGGGTTGTATGGCAGGTTTGTGGCATCGTGTGGCTTCACCCCGGATGTCAAAGTTTGGGAAGTCTGCTTTGGGAAAAAAGGTGACTTCCAAGAGGTTGTACGAGCCTTTGAACTGAAGGGCCACTCGGCAGCTGTTCACTTCTTTGCTTTCTCCAATGACTCCCGGAGGTGAGTGTATTCTCTCTGATTTCTTCCCAGTGGGTGGGGTATCTGATCCTCAGCAGGAAGTAGACATAGCAGTGGAATTGGCTTCCTAACTGAATCCCTTTGTGCTGTCCCAGTGCCCTCTCCTTAGGGTGTATTGGCATTAGAGCTGGGATTTTCCATGTTGCAGGATGGCCTCTGTCTCCAAGGATGGTACATGGAAACTGTGGGACACAGATGTGGAATACAAGAAGCAGCAGGACCCCTACTTGCTGAGGACAGGCCGCTTTGAAGAGGCGAGCACCATTCCGTGCCGCTTGGCACTCTCCCCTGATGCCCAAGTCCTGGCCTTGGCCAGTGGCAGCAGTATTTATCTCTACAATACCCGGCGGGGTGAGAAAGAAGAGTGCTTTGAGCACGTCCATGGGGAGTGTATCACTGACTTGTCCTTTGACATCACTGGCCGGCTTCTGGCCTCCTGTGGGGACCGAGCAGTGCGGCTGTTCCATAATGCCCCTGGCCACCGGGCAGTGGTGGAAGAAATGCAGGGCCTCCTGAAGCGAGCTTCCAATGAGAGCACCCGCCAGAGGCTGCAACAGCAGCTGACCCAGGCCCAGGAGGCCCTGAAGAGCCTTGGTGCCTTGAAGAAATGACTCCAGGAGGGTGCAGCAGGAAGGATCTGGCCTGCTGCTGCCACCACTGCTGCCTCTTTTCTTCCCAGGTATTCCCCAGCTGGAAACCTTTTGAAAGGGGTATCCTGATTTTTTTTAATGGTGGCCCCTTTCTTTTTTTCCCCATTGAAGCTGTTCTTGCCTACTTAGATCTCTCTCTATTCTTGCTGGTTATGACTCCTATCTTACTTGACCTCCTAGTATAATGACCAAGGTGCTTTTTCCTGGGCCCAAAGGGTAGAATCTGTCTTCATTGGGCACTGAGGAGAGTGGTAAATAGAGACAGGGATAATGGTCTTTGACCTTGTGGCAATACACCCTGGTATCCAAAGAAGTTTGTAATTGTAGAGGCAAAATCTAAAGAATGCCTGAGTACTAGCAGGGGTGGGAGATTGGGATATCTTCCAAATACAGAACTGTGATATGGGTCAGGGAAAGGCTAGTCTTAATCCAGGCAAAGTAGCTAACACCAGCAAAAAGTAAAGGGATTTTATTCTGTGCCTCAGTTTTCTTATTTGTAAAATGGAAAATAATCTTTTGACCTCCTTAGAAAGACGTGGGGATCCCTAGATTTGGAAGAAACGTAGAAAAGAGTAGTAGTATATGTTATCTGTTGTCCAATATCATTTATTAAGTAATGGGTAAAAGTAGGTCTCAAACACATTTAGTTCGAAACTAAATTAGGAAGAAAAACATTCGTTGGGAAGGTGAAGTTTCTGGGATTATACATTTCGTATCTGGTACTACTTTAACTTGTATGGAGGAATCATAGAATCCCAAAATGGAGTCTTCTTTTTCAGGATGTTATATCCTGTTGGAGGGGGGGACACTTTTTCAGGTCGTTAAACATTTGAGTGCCTACTCTGCCCATCACAGTTTAAGACATTAGAGACAAGTATGAATAAGAATGATCTCTGTCATCCTGGCTGGTTTGGCTCAGCGGTTAGAGCGTCGGCCCGCGGACCGGAGAGTCCACGATTCGGTTCCTGCTAAGGGCACATAGCTTGGTTGCAGTTTGGGTCTTGGGATGTGATGTGACCCTGGTTGGGGTCGTGTGGGTGGCAGCCACTCGATGTGTCTCTCTCACATCGATGTTTCTCTCTCTCTTCCTCTCTCCCTCCCGCTCTATCTAAAGATAAATGCAAAAAAATGTCCTCGGGTGAGGATAAAACAACAACAACAACAACAACAACAAAAAGAATGATCTCTGTCATCAAAGATGACTGGTGGGAGAGCGGTACACTTGTCTAGTAAGTGCTTAATATTAAGTGCTTTTTGTTAGTTTATTTGCAGCTGTAGAAGGCTATCGTAAAAGTCAAGGTAAGAGAGAGGATTGAACCAGGACAGAGGCAATGGATATGAAGTTGAAGTTAAAGGAATAGATTTGATAAGAGATTAGGTATTTAGAAGTTTGAATTTTTGGATTTAAGGACTGCTTGGATGTGGGACATAAAGAAAATGAGGAATCTAGGAAGACTTGAGTCTAGGTAAAATTTATTCATCCAAAATCAGATTTTTATTTCCTTTCCTTAAAACTGGGACCTCTCTTACCTCCCATTCACATAAATATTTGAACAAGCCACGGCCTTGGAGTTATCCTTAATTAGTCGCTTTCACTACTCCCTCCACCCCACTACCACTACTACCATCTACTTCACAAAAAAATTCTATTGGTTATATTCCAGATTGCATTATATCCTGAATCTGCTACTTCTCTGCATCTTTTCTGTTACCACCCTGGTCCTAGACACTATTACATACTGGATAATATAGCTTCCTCCTTGGTCTCTCTTCTTTTCTTGTCTCATTAAATCACTTTTACACATAGCAGAGTGATCTTTTGAAAATGTAAACCAGATCATATTGTTCCCCAGTTAAAACCCCTCCAAGGCTTCCTATTGCACTTGGACTGAAATTCAAAATTCTCACCATGGTCCACAAGGTCATATGCAATCTGGCTTCTTCCTTCCTATGTGTTCTTTTTACCACTCTCCCCACCACCTCAACCTTGCTGTTCCTCAACCAAGCTATTTCCAACCTCAAGGGGGACTTGTGCCTATGTTATTCCCTCTGCTTGGAAACATTTTTCTTTTCTGTTGGCTAACTTGTCATAAATCAAGTCTCAGTTTCAATTACATTTCAGAGAAATGCTCCCTGATCACACAATGTGAAATAACCCTTTCCACCAGTCATATCACATCCATCATATTAGGGTATTTTAGTTATTTTGTATTTCTTTTTTTTTTTTTCATGCTCACCCAAGGACATTTTTCCATTTTTTGTTCAGATAGAGTGGAAGGGAGAGAGGAAGAGAGAGAGAGAAACATCGACGTGAAAGGGACACATCGAATGGCTGCCACCTGCACGACCAACCAGGGCCGGGGACAAACTGCAACCCAGGTACACGCCCTTAGTGGGAACCAAACCCGGGTCTCTCTGGACCGCAGGCCGATGCTCTAACCGTTGAGCTAAACCGGCCAGGGCTATTTTGTATTTCTTAATGCTATCTGAAATTTTGTTGTTTGGATATTTGTTTGCTTCAGAGGTTTAAGTGCTTATGGATGTCAAGTGGATAATGTAATTGCATGAATTAGATGTCTTCTGAGCGTGAGAGTAGGAAATGGTAGGAACTGAAGTGATCCCCAGAGGGCACGTATCCTGGGTAAGGGGCAGGGGTGGCTACTACTTATCATTCAGGAATCCAGCAGAAGTTGCCTGTTTCAGAGCAGCTAGAAGTTAACAGTGTTATATAAAGAAAAATTAAGCATCGTATGGACCAAACAAAACACTAATGTGGGCCAGATGCAGCCCACCAGCCTCTTATTGGCAGCTTCTGGATTGTCCATTAACCCACGAATATAAGCTCCACAAAGGCAGAATCCTTGTCTATTTGATTTGCTGTGTATCTCAAGCACAGTACCTGGGACAGAATAAGCTCTCAGTAAATAAACTCAAACCAGGGCAGTTGACAGAAATGTCAGTACCTTCTGTAAGTATCCTCCCACACCTGATTTCCACTGGTTTTATGTTCCTAATAACAGATTTCTGATTGATAGTGCTATGCACATGGGTTCTCGTGAATATTAGCTTTCTGATTGTCAGAAGAATGAGACTAAAACACTTCTTTGCATATCTACTTGGCTCTGGTCTTACCCTCATTGTATATCCAGGAGGGGAAGTGACCACAGAATGTTGAGTTACTGAAGTCATAAGACTTCAGTTCGGGTTTCAGCTGGATCACTTAACTGATTTGAAACCTTGAGCAGGTAGATCATTTGACCTCTCTGAGTTCGTTTCCTCATCTGTAAAATGGGAATAAATTCATTGTGTTTCTAATGAGCTGAGTGAAAGAACTACCAAAAAAGTTGTTACAGAGACTTCTTGAGAACAGAAAGCTCCTTCCTCTCACTAAAAATGAGCTTGCTTCTCTTGTAAGCATGGAGAAGGTATGTGGATATTAATATAGAGCAGAGGCCACTGTGTTGTTTTTATCAAAAATCCTTGTGTATGAAGGCAGCATTAATATTTTAATATTACTATTTCAACTTCTGTGGGTTTGAAATTTTTCAGAATAAAAAGTTGGGGAAATATTAAAAATGAAGCTATATAGCCCAGCTGGTGTGGCTCAGTGGCTTGAACGTTATCCCATGGACTGAGAGGTTCCAGTTTGATTCCTGGTGGGTGAAGTGGCAACGCATGAGTAGTCACATTTCCCTGGTCCTCCAAGGGCTATTCTGCATGAACAGGGGCATGGCTGGAGGAGGGCCAAGACAAGTCCTTCCAGAAGGAGTTCTCTAACACTGTTAACCTCAACCACACTTCATTTTTTCCCTGAAGCTTCAAGTTCACTAAACTCTCCTTAACACATCAGAAATACAGTATTTTATTATGAGTTGTTGGGGGCTCAGCCTGGTATATCTCAGAACTCTAAAAGTTGTGGACATGTGAAAGTAGTCTTGAATATTTTCTTAACTGGTATCAGCCTCATTACTGGCTCTCCGTTCTCACCTTTAAGTTCTTCCAAGTATTCCACAGACCATCTGCAGCCAGGATACCAGTATGGAAACCATTCACACCTTGATCATTACTTCATCACATCCCATGATCAATCTGACAGGTTAAAAAGGAAAACATGGGGAGCTGAGCATACCAACTCTCTCTCTAATTAACTGATGGAGCTTTTCCTCCTGCTTTCATTGTAGATGCTGTCACCATAGCAAGTGAACTCAGCTTTTTAAACATTTCAAACTGCTTACTGGCTTTATGCTAGCTAGTTGCTTAGCAGGGGTTTTGTTTGTTTTTATAAAAAAACTCAGTTAAATTTTTTTTTTATCCTCACCCGAGGACATTTTTCCATTTTTTTTTTTTTTTTGGTAGAGTGGGAGGGAGAGAGAGGAACAGAGAGAGAGAGAAACATTGATGTGAAAGGAACACATCGAGTGGCTGCCACCTGCACAACCGACCCCAGGGCCGGGGACAAACTGCAACCGAGGTACGCGCCCCTAGCGGGAACCGAACTCGGGTCTCTCAGGACCACAGGCCGATGCTCTAACCGCTGAGCCAAATCGGCCAGGGCTAAATTTCTTATTGAATATCCTGTTTTAACTTCTCACCCTCTCCTTTATTCTTTTTCTTTCTTAATGACACCTTTCTGTCACAGGTAAAAGATTTGATAATGCAAACATTCAGGGGGTACTCATTACAGTTCAGACATCGTTCTTAGTGCTGTAGTGATAACTCATTTCACCCTCCCAGCAGTTCTTTCAGAATAGATATTATTATAACTTGCATGTTACTAATGGAGAATCTGCAGAATTGCCCAGGTCAATTAGGAGGTGCATGGCTGAATTGGGATTCAGACCCAGAGAGTCTGGTTTCAGAGAGCTCAGGTTCATAATAGTTCTCAAGCTGTGGCAGGTATCAGAATCACCTGGAACCTGGGATAACTACAAAGGTCCTATACTGCTTTAACAGACCTCTGTGTTTATTAGCTCTCAGGTGATTCTCATACCAAAGTTTGGGAACCACTGCAACTATGCTCCTCTGCCTTGATTTTGAATGTTATTCAGATGCTACTGCCCTCCTTCAGGGTGTGTTCCTATCCCTACAGGTGAGTGTTTCCTTGCTAATGCCCAGTGGAGGAAAAGCTGCAGGGGAGCCATCCAGGGACCCTCTAAGGGACTGTCCCACACACTGCTTAGCACCAGAAATCCCCCAGTACCTGCCCCTGGTCACATGGCCATCACCTTAACTCAGGAGTCTTTAGAAACTGCCTTAACTTAATGGCTTCTCCATGCTTTCATAAGTCTATACATTCCTCCATCTCTATCTCATGGTGTATTGTCATTTATTTGTTCACTGATTGTCTGGAGGGCAGCTGACATGTCTGTTTCATTTTAGTATCCTTGTAGCCTAACATAGGGCCGGTTAGTCAAGTAAAAGAACTTCTACTTCTGCCCTGGCCAGTTTGGCTCAGCAGTTGGAGCCGAAGAGTTGTGGGTTTGATTCCAGTCAAGGACACGTATCTTGGTTGCAGTTCAGTTCCTGGCCCTGGTTGGGGTCATGTGGGAGGCAACCAATCACTATCTATCTCTCACATCAATGTTTCTCTCTCTCCCACTCTGTCTGAAAATAAATGGAAAAATATCCTCGGGTGAAGATTTAAAAAAAAAGAACTTTCCCTTCCACCCAGCCAGTGTGGCTCAGTGGGTTGAGCGTCATACCGTGGACTGAGAGGTCCCAGTTTGATTCCTGGTCAGGGCATATGCCCAGGTTGTGGGCTCTCAATCCCCAGTAGGGGGCTTGTGTCCCTCTCACATCGATATTTCTCTCTCTCCATTCCTCTCTCACTGAAAAATCAATAAAAATATATTTAAAAAGTACTTCCACTTCTGTGGAATCTTCCACACTTGCCCTGGGCCTTGCAATCACTGAGTGCCCCCTTGGGTTCT